AATTGCAAGTTAATATGTAAAATTTTGTATAATTACATTTTAATTCAAATGTATCAAGTTGGTGTATCATGCTTAATGAGATGACCAATATATATTAAATTAGTTTCTTTTGGAGTTAAGGCTTTTTATTCAGTAATTAAGATATGGGAACTCATATCTAAGACCTTAAAAGAGTTACTTTTATATTAAAAAGTACAACTAATCATATATATATATATTTTTGATATCTAATTTAAGTAGTTCACTGATAGTTCTATACTAGTTGTCATATCTGCAACTCAACTAGAGACATTGTTTATTTAAATTCTCTGTATTGCAATTTTTATTGTATTACTAGATAATTTTCAATATACATGTTAGTTAAGAAGGTTTAGATGCTTACCTATAATATTAAAACCTTATATCTTATTTTATGCAGTGTATTTTTAGAAGCATTATTACTAAAGCTTTCTGTATTCTATATACAGCTAATCTAGTTTATATAATACACTATAGTTACCTAATACTTGCAATTAGAGCTAATCTTAAACTATTATATTATACTATTTCTATTCTTGTAAAGTTTACTCAAACTCCAGTACCTATCTTTTTGATATTTTTTTCATCATCTTTTACTAACTGCAACTCAAAACTAACAGACTTTTCAGATTTTCAATTTAGATAGCCTGGTATAATATATCTTAGTATTCTTTTTTTCTAGTAATTTTAGTAACCTGATTAATTATATACTTCTTTATACATCTTTATCATTTAGTTTATTTGCCTATTTCTATAAAAATATTTTATAAACTTTTATTAGTCTAACAGCATTATTGAAAATTTGTATTATCTTTTTATTTAGGAATTTCCAAGTAGGATTTTATCTCTTTGGTTCTTTAGTCTTTTGTACCTAGTACTTTTATTATAGGTTTATACTAAAGTCTTATATAATACTAATTATTAACATTCTTCTATGTACATGTAATGTTACACTTTGTATAGATACTCTAAGCTTCTAATAACAAGTAGAACCTGACTTAATATATCTGGATTACAACTGCATGAGACTAACTAATCAATAAAAAACAGTTTTTATAATATAGGTTAATTTCTAAATTTTGTTGTAGATGAAATTTGAACCTTAGACTTGTCACTTGAAGGATTACAATCTAATTACTATACTAGAATTACCATTCTTTTATAATAGATTTTTATATAGTAAATTAAAATGTATTACTAATAAATCTTTTTTATTATTTAATTAATTTTTATTAAAATTCACTAATATATAAATTTAAATAAGTTATTTATTGTTAAAATTTTATAAGATATCAAATTTAAAAAAATATATTTATATATATCTTAAATTTTTTTAACACATTATGTTTTTTCCTGATTATATAAAAAGACAACTTTAAAAAAATTTTAATAGTAAATTTTTATATCTAATTTTATATTAATGAATTTTAATCCAAATTTAGTAATTTTATTACTGTTAGAATCACAAGAATCTACTTTACAACTTTACTTAAAAACTCAAAAAATATTTAATTAATAAAATTTTTATAATTGAAATTACAAAAAAAATATACTATCAAGTTTATATATAATTTTAAAATATTACATTCTATTCTTAAATAAAGATTTTTAATAAAATTTTTGAGATGTTAGTTTAAACTTGAGTTTAGAATTTAAACAAACAAAACCAAATTATAATAGTTTAAAATTTAAGCAACAAGTATAATCACATCTTTGGTTAAGAATTTGATGCTTATAGAAAGTTTGTACTTATATAAAAGTCAAATTTTATAAATGATATACCAGTTGGTTTTAAAATTTTATATAATCCTAAGCAAATGTAACTATAAAGATAACTATAAAGAAGTCTGACTATATTTATAAATAATATATATAATTATAAAAATTAAAAAACTAGACATTCAAACTCATTCCTATAAAACTACAATTTAAGACTTGTAATTTAGTTTAGTCAACTATATATTATACATAATTATCTGTGAAGAGTAGATATCTACTTTTTAATTTTATCCAAAATGAAATCAACAAATTTACCAAAATTATCAAAAACACCATTAATAGTGGGGTCACGCGCTTCGTCACCACTTCGATACTATTAAATAAAGATTCAGAGTCTAATTCGTATTATACCATTTTATCTAAGTATTAATTAATCTTACCTTTCCAGTTTTGACTATAATCAAAGTATAATATGTGTAAAGCTCAATATTAAAATCATCTAGGAATAGTTAAAATGATGCTGCCAAGGAAAACCCGACTTCTGATTTTTAAGTTTATAATTTAATAGACTCAGTCCTTGATTAGTGACAAGCATAAGACATATCGAATTACGTACCAATATTAGTAATAAAATATTCGTTAATCAGATGTTTCGGATGTTGTATCCATTAAGGGAGATCGTCTAAAGCCAGGTAGTTTTCAAGATGATTATCAATTGATCTATAAATTAAGAATCGTGTGATAAACATAAAATACTACAAATACTACCTGACTTTAGATTATTCTCTGTTGGGATTATAAATTTAAAAATCCGAAGAATGGTTTTTCCTTGGCAGCCTTAAGTTAAAATGTCACGCACCAAGGTACCGAATTAATCCTAATTCCTTCGCACCACCTATGAAGTCAAAAAATTGAGATACTTCATTATGAAACAACCATTTTACTAAACATAAGTATCACGCTACCTCCCAAGTCTTGAGCAATATCATCACCGATCATAATAACATGATTTGCCTTTTCCAAAAGTCCCATGTCTTTAAGTGCAGATTCAAAAAAGGTTCTTTCCGGCTTGAAATGTTTAGAAATTGAAGTTGTTATCTCTTATTGATCAAGATTTAAATAACCTTAAATTACCTTTCCAATAACAGTTGCTTTAACCCCATCACAAGCATATTCTAATGCAGAAACAAATGGTCCAGGACCTAAACTAAGACCATCTGGTTCAGCAAAATATTTGGATTTATGAAGGGCAATTAAAGGAGCATTTGGATTATCGATCAAGATGCGGAAAGCCTTGTTAAGCTGTAAGGATAGATGATAATATTAGAAATAGACTGTAAATGAGTAGATAAATATAAGAACATAATTGTAATTTTAGACCTACCATATCATATCGCAGATTAGATGGAGATAGACCTATTACAACAGCATCCTTCGGTTCTTCTACGGGGATGCCTTGGAAATCTTCCAAAGCATCTTCTTCTAAGAGTAACAAGGGTCTAATGTAGATAAAATAAATAGATATATTAGAAATAATGCGATAAATCTCTACAAGATATCCGAGTTGTCACCTGAGGTTGCGTGAGATTATCAAATTACGGCATGCGCTTAATGAAGTAATTATCTTTTTGAAAAAAAATAAAAAATCGGTCTGAATACTGCTGTATAAAAGTATGTGATCAAATTTTTAAAGAAAAAACAAAAAACACAAACCTCATTACGATACACATCAAAACCCGAATTAATCAATTTACTTAAAATTGTTGATCGACTTTCACTTGTCGTATTGGTACAAAAACGAAACTGTATAATATTAATATTATGGATTTATATTATAATTTAATTTGTTATGATAGATACTTACTGGAATACCAGCGTCCCTAAGTTTTTTCAAACCAACAACGGCACCTTCGCATGCCTAAATTTAGAGAATAAATCAATATTTGACTCAGTGAAGATTGTAAACTATAAAACAAATACTTGACTTTGCTTCCAATTATTATTGTGCCCGAAATATCAATAAGTATGCCGCGAATAGAATTCATTTTCATGAATTTCCAACATTTTTGAACATGATATATTTATAATAAACAAAATTCCGCATCCATGTGATCTGATTTGAGTTTAGAGATAGGCAATTGTAAAATAGCTTCCTTCGCAATTTCATTATGTCATGATGGGTTTATACAGCCATTTTTCGTATCAATATTATCTCATTTACTTTGAATTTGTCAGGCTGTGATCAAAAGCGGCTGGCACGTGATTATTCATTAATGAAATGCCGCAGAAATAACGGAAACGTGATGTTATATTTCCGATTCGATTCTAGGATCTGAATGTGGCTTACATCCAATTAAAAGATTTATTATTTGGGTTAGCATTAAGCTGGAATGGGCAAATTACCGTAATTTACGTAAGTTGTTGTTTAAGCATAAGCCTTGTAAGGTGACACAGATAAATTATGCATGCAGAATGTTAACGAACAAAATTATACGTACGTATCGAAAATAAAAAATTTATTATGTATTTTTTAAAATCCATCGCTAACCGAATTTGGGACCGTTTAGCATTTCGCGGGTCAATAAAGATCTTACTCCTAATTAAATATAGGTAATGCTGTGTGGTGTGTTAGGCTTTTAATGATCTCCAAATTTAGAATACCGCAATCCTAATAACTATATAGTACAATTTTTAAAACAAGCCACCGAGACATTTAGCTTTATACGATTACCATTAACGTTAAGATGAACAAATAAATTACGTATTCATGAAACTTTATGAACATACATTCTAGAAATTATCTTATTCACAAAAGTATCTTTCGGAAAAGTTATACAAACTATATAGACAGAATATTGGTTATATAGTGCAATTTTGTATACGCAAAAAGATCCGAAACATTACAGAAACATAAACCTTTTACGTAATATGCAGTACGTAGCCGCTTACATAGTAATTATATATTAACTATACACATAGTATATAACTATATATATATAATTAATCTCTACGTATCGGTATGTATTAAATTTAATTTAAATAGATAGTAACTAAGATATCTAAGTTTTAATCAAATTCGATAATAAAGTTTAGAACAAGTTCGAAACAAATTTGGAGTTTATTAAGACAACTTTCTTCCAACTTTGTTACGTATAAGTCAAGAATTGTGAAATTGATACGTAAATATCTCGGGATAGTCAAAATGTACAACGTTGGGAATTCACATCATTGTGCAGCATCGCCATAGTTTTAATCCACATACGTATCGTAAATGAGTACAAGGTAGGTGGTGCAGATCTCCTGGACTACGAATCAGATAAGATTAGTTGCAACATAACACGATCAGGAAGATTCGTTCATTCTGCCAAAAATTGCTCATAGCTCAAAAATCAGCATAAGAAACCACCTTTGTGCTCTAACAAAAAGTTTTCGTTGAACAATTTTTGCTATATAAACTATCCCTCTCTAGATCCTAACTTTGACCCTAACCCTAACCTTAACGAATTTTAAGAATTTAGTCTTCGCTACCAACCTTGTACGCATTTATGATATGCTAATCTTTCGTCACAAGTTTTAATAATTGTTGTCAATTTCATCATTTCAAATTCTGGAGATCCGTAGAATTTGACATTGTCCTTGAACACCGCAAATGGTTAGACCTTGGGCTATCTCGGGAATAATCTGTCCTTTTGCGATATTCAAGAGTAATTTCTAATGATATAAATTTCTAAAATTTAGTTAATTTTTGACACGTAATGAAATTTTTTCATGCTTCTGGTTTCCTTATTCTAATGTTACCTACTTGATAAAATATTTGATCGATATTATTTAAATAGAATATATAATGTTATTGTATTAACCGATACGTATATAAACATATTAAACTATGTATATAATAAAAATAATCCTAAGTGATTTCTGCGATGTAGGAATATTCTAATTGCTAAAATTTGATTCAGTTCATTAAATGTGAAAGCTTTATTATATTAAATTATATTAACATTAAAATGTTTTAATGCTTAGAAGTAATCGTGTTACTCTGAATTACTCTGTTGAGTAATTTCTTTTTTAGTATTTTTGGGTTTCACAATTTTTGAACGTTTGTAGAAGGTACACTATATTTTGCGCTAGCGATTGCGTATGAACAGTGCATCGAAGCGATGTGCATGCTAGAATTGCGCTCAAAATTTTTTAACAAGGGTCATTTAAATAAAAAAAAAAGAATTAGTAATAATAATATCCTGATCCGTTGGAAATTAGCGGAAATGAAGTTTCCACTTATTCACATACGGTCAAGGTATTATTAATTAATCCTCCCGTGATCTTGATATAGTGATCGGGGGATTAAATTAAAAAAATATAAAAATACCCGAAAATTCATTCAAACTTTTATTATTATTAACCTTATCCACTTTATTTGTTAATAAAAAAAAATTGTAATCAAATTTAATACAATTATCAACTCTATTTTTATTATCTTTTAAAATTTTTTTCAATATTGCATTATTTTAAATTCCTGTATTTCATATACGCTTAAAATTTTCCTTTTATAGTTACAAATGACCCATAAATTATATATCCAACACCTATGAAGCCACATTCACGTAAAAAATTAACCTATTCCAACAAAATTATCAAACTATAGCTTCGAAACAAACCAAAGCTCGCTACCAACCAGAGGTCGGAATCGGACCGCATGAAAGTAACACAATGCACCAGGAATGGAGTTTGTACAATGTACAAATAATCAATCCTCGTGACTTTGTCAGCTAAAGTGAAGGGAGTTTTAGAATTACCTTTTTGATGTAGTTAGGTTAATGGGTTATATAGACTATCAATAATATAATTTATGCAGTATGAAGATCACAGAACGGGGTATGTCAATCTTTTATCTAAGATGGGTTTCCCGACTATATACAGTGTATTCGCTGTGTCGGGTCTTTAATGGGTATTAACGTGATAAAGGAAATCAGTAGGATCATGGGTATAATTAATATAATCAGTATAAGCAAGACAATAATCATAAGTGATATATCACGGATAATGTGCTATAAGTAAACGAAAGTATATAATAAAGGCATTTCGCCCTAGAGAGAATCATTCTTGGTAATTCAAATAAATCCCTGCATTATAGTTAAATACTTACATTCCGTTCTACTGCCTAAGTGGCATAAGTAGTACGATCATCATTCTGTCCGGTTGATTCTCGACATACTGAAGACTGCCATGGTGATTGTTTTCCAACTCTTCAAACGTACCGTGGACAGTTGAGGTTATTGTTTGTTCCGGTTTGAGGTCCAAGTGGAAGGTTCAAGCCATGATTTTGCAGGATTGATAGTGTTACATACAACTGAATAGAGAAATATATTTAGTGTATCAATAAGCTGTATCAGAAGATTCAAGACAAGTAGAAAGAAGAATATGTACCTACGACTTTAATCCCACTCGCCAAATATAACCGCCTCTATCGACTAAACCGTTCGTAGGTTACACGACATCCCAGATTGTAGAGCGACTGACTTGCCGTATAGAGTTGCCAATGGTTACATGCTGTTTGAAGTGAGATTTGTCTGCAAAATCTTAAGTTTGATTAGCCTACATAATTTATCCATCAAATTTTGGTTATTTTTCGCATATGAATTCATCACGGATATAGTAAAGCGCATAATTTAAATACAATCAGCGTTTATTTTTCAGTTAAACTTTACTGTGCGGATGCCGCACAATTTGGAAACTTTTCTGTGTGGCATATAAAGAAAATCTATAAGCAACTGTGCGCACTACTTACAAAATTTTGATTCTGTGCGCTGCGCACAGTCCGCACAGTGAAAAATAATCACTGTTTACATGTTACTAGAACTGTAAGTTTGTAAAATGTAATTTTCAATCCTAAATTAAATATGTTTCTAAACTAATTTTACAATTGCAGAGGCACAAACCATAAATTTTTCATTTTCATCTCTACTGGTAATATTGTGTTGTCTCTCATTTTTTGGATAAACTATAACAATGAAGAACATCCACCGATTAAAAACACAAATGCAGAGTAGCTATCGGATACCCGATGTTTGCTAATAACAACCTAATATCAAAGCTATCGGTTAATTCCTGATCGATAAATATATCGGAAACAGAGTACAAAGTACGTAGAGTACCAGGAATGGAGTACGAAGTATGTATAGTTTACATACATTTGAAGTGGTGTATCTCTTTTTTATCCGATTGGTTGACCTAACCCTGTGATTTCATCTTGAGATCTCTATATTTATACTCTAAGAGTTTTCGTCTATTGACGCATGATAAAAAAAATGCGCTTGTGATCAAAGAATTGTTCTAAATTATTGTAATGTTAAATTTCTCTATTTATTATCGTGGCTTTTAACCCTATTAAATCATAACTTTTTCGTATATCAAGTTTAAACTATTCTCGGAACTAATTTCAATAATTCAAAAGCATATATTCTTAAAGCATGATAAATCGGGCGCCTGATAGTGTGTATAGCATACATAATACACATAATACACGTAGCATTTAATGTGAAAGACAGTTTCATAATCGAAAATTTGAGAAATGGATACTTTCATGATTCGATCTAGAACGTTCTAAAATTTTTTTTGCGTACTGTACGTGGCACATCACTAAGTGCCACAACTTCCGTTCGTGACAGCTATCTTATGATGTAATTAATTGATCGACAATAACCCTGGATTTTAACATTCCTTCGATTAAATCAAATCACAATAAAATATAATACTTCCTAACATGCTTGAAACAAACTGGGTTTAAGTTTTAAAAACCGAGTTGTCCGAATTTTACAATCGGATTAAAATATTACAAAACCGATTTAATATGAAATCAAGTTAACCCGGATTTATACCGACCTCTACTACCAACACCTGACCTCAAATCTGATAACTAAAAAAAAAAAAAAACACCCAGCGCATAGACAAGTGCCCCGCTTGTTATTATAATAAAATGGTGTGTGATTCTAATCATAACATGTACTAGCGGTATTGTTAAATAATTTTTTTATATGTTGCACATCGGGTGAAGGACAGAGCTATTGAAATAGTGGCCATTTGCAAAGTATTGTTCTTGATTCACATTACATTAGAATATGTAATATTGTACAACTTATTGTTTTAAAATACGATTAATTAGTAATTTTAAATACTAATTTTAAAGCATCAAAAAAGATACTTCAAACAATATTATACTAATCTTAATATTTTTATTATAGGAATTAATAATTATGATACTTGATTCTAGGGATCCTCAAATTCAAATCAAATCTTGATAAAATCAAATATACCCAAATAAAGATATTTGAAATTAAGATCGAAATTCGATATCCGTTTAAAAAAAATTGTATTACGTAAAAAATAACACGTTTCTTTTAATAAAATTTTATTGGTTAATCATGAATTGTATTAATATATACGTATTCAAGTTTTATTAATAATATCAAGTTTATTAATAATATCAAGTTTTATAAAAAGATTTAATTTTATTTCTGTATTTACGTACTGTACTTATTTGCTGATCATGCCTCCAATCAGGAATAAACGAAATCTTGTGATCTTGAATCATTTTAAACCAAATAAAAATGAAACAAAATACACATATAAATTATGTCCTGTTTTTAAAACAACTAATAATCTTAGAAGATATTACGAAACAATTCATAAAAAAGAATACAAACGAATCAATTATTCAAAGAATCGAAAAAAAAATGAAACCGAAATTAAAACCAAATGTTTCTTCGATTTATTTGATCTCATTTATGAATTTTTTGAAAAAATCAAAGAAGCAATAAATAAAATTGAAGAAAACTTCAACAACACTAGAACAAAAATGGATTGGGAATATTAAATTAAAATCGATACGTAATAGTAAACTGATTAATTATTTTTTTTATATTTGCTATTTTATAAATTGTGAATCGTTACTTATCTACAAATAACAATCACAGGGCATGTCCCATGATCTGCATTTAATTTAATTAGAAAATTGAAAAAAAATTTTGTACTTCGATTTTGTCTAATCGATAATACGATAGCGATAGTTTTACTTTATTGTTAATTAAATAATTTAAATATCTAATAAAAATTTTTACTAGTTTTTGCTGATTTAATTTATGCTTTTGGTTTTTTTTCTTGTCTTTTATTCTCTATTTTCACAAAGCACGAGTAAAGAAAAGGTATTTACAGTAAGATCATTCTACTATGAATACTTTGCTTACTTGTATAAGGGCACAAATTATGCAAAAAACCTTACTAAGTTGATATGGTATTATTTTTCTGTAGTTATAACATTGTTTATAGTTCTTGAATATTGGACTTCTTAAAATTATTTCGCCTTGACATAACTCGTTATAACAAATTATGCTAACAACTTATTCCTAAACAATAAATTTTTTGATAGCTAAATCTTAACAAATAATAAGCTTAAGAAGATCAATGAGAATTTATAGTAAGCGGTAATTTAGATAATTAAGGTAATACATACAGTAAAACCTCTATAAGTGCATGCACTTGAGACCAACGTGCACTTAGAGAACAATAAGAAAAGGTGCATTTAGAGAAGGTGTGCACTTATGAAGGTTTTACTGTAATCGTCGCTCAAGATCATCTGAGGTAAGATCTAAAAAAGTACATCACTATTGTTTAAAGAAATATTCATGACCATATACTCTTCAACTCATTTCGTTTATGTTAATTTAGGTGAGCCTTCAGATTCATGAATATTTATTATATACAGTAAAACCTCTATAAGTGCATGCACCTGGGACTGAACTTTAACGATGTGCACTTAGAGAACAATAAGAAAAAGGGTATTTATAGAGGTTATGTATATATTTGGAGCCAAATTTAAGCATGCATTTAGAGAGGATGTGTACTTATAGAGGGTACACTTATGGAAGTTTATTGTATATTATATGAAGAAGTAATAATAATAGCTCATTTCTGATGTAAAGATATTGATTATTTTAATAAACTTGTTAATATATTTATTTATTCACTTTTGTTTAAACTTTAATTTTCTAATTAAGTAATTTAAAAATTACTAGGTGTTACCCGTCGATTTGCTTTCGGTTTAAATCTACACATGTAATTTTTTTAGTCTACATTTATCATTCATCATATATACTGGGCGTAATATAAATAATATGAAAGCTAAATGTAACATATGGCGTGGCTAGTGGTTTAACGGTGATTAGCAAAAGATCCTGTCTAGGACTTATCAAACACCCAGTATAACTGATAAAGGACACCCTAATTACTCGTACATCACTTACTATAGTATCCCGGGTACTAATTACAGAAAGTGGGTACTATACTAGGTGTTTCAAAAATCTCTATAAATTCACATAAAAAAAGGTATTGGTGTCTAATATTGAACCTTCCCAAAAAATTATTGGCACTTCGATCTATAATAAAAATGCGTCTATTCTATTTCTTCACTATCGTAACCTATTCTTCAAATATGTATATAATTGTTTAATCAGAATAATAATATATAAATAACTTAATACATGAAGTCCAATATCTTATTGATTTAGATGACTCATAGTCGGTAAGCCAAAATTTTCAAATTTTGTGATATTTTACGAATCTGCCGTAATGAATAGAGATTTTCTGAATTTTATACCAGTCACACATCTTCATAAATTACACAAATCGATGAAATTACACTTTTTAAATTTTTACCTAAAAGCTAGTTGAAGTACATTACGTTTCCTAAAACAAAATTATTGCTGAAGTTTTGAGCTATGCCATATTAAAAACGTAAAAACACTATTTACTACTATACTATTTTTTTTGTTTAGTTTCGTCTAAGATAAGTTATTTAAGTTTATATTATTTTATTTTACTTGTTTAATTAAGAAATTTAGATAATGTTAAATTTAAGTTTATAATTTAGCTAGATTAATTAAATCTATGTTTTTATATTTTTTTCTATAAGATTATTTGGGTTTGGTGCTCGGAAAAAGACAAAGAGAAAAGAGACGGAAGGGAAAAGGGATAAAGTTGACAAAAAAAATCCCTCACAAAAAATCAATTATCTCATGAATTATCATTTGTAATCACGTAATTTTGGTACTATTCGATTCATCTCACTAAGATGAATCAAATGGTTCATAGGCAGAAGTTTGTCTGATTGGCTAATAAATTCAAATTAATTTTACATTATTTATACAGTTTAGAGTACTTTTTAAAAAAACGAAAACTAATTATAATAAAATAAAAACAGCTATATAGAAGGTTTCATTAGAGCTGTAGGACTTCATAGTCAAAAATAAGATCTAATTCTCATCCGTTTAAAAAAGTTAGTATAGTAATAACTTTTTAAAACCTAACTTATTACTAAGCTAATTTTTTTAAACAAATGAGAATTAGATCTTATTTTTGACTATAGAGTTCTACAGTTCTAATAAAACTTTTTATATAATTTTTTTTTACTTTATTATGGTTGGTTTTTGTTTTTTTAAAAAGTACTCTAAATTGTATAAATAACGTAAAATTAATTTGAATTTATTAGCCAATCAGATGAACTTCTGCCTATGATTGAATGGTACACTTTTCTGACAGAAGTCAATGATTTAACCTAATTGGAGAATGATTGTAATCACATATTAAACATATATACAAATTAGTCTTTGCATAGTAGGCAAAGTTGTTTAACATAATGATTAGTATATAATTTGAGAATTTTAGAAAATTTAATAAATTTTTTTATTATTTTTGGTACTTTAGATCTTAGTAAATAAAAAACAAAAAAAAATAAATAAAACTTGTTTATAGTGATGTATTTTTGAATTATATTATAAACATTCATTGAAATTTATTGAGGTTATTTTCTAAGTTCTAGAACATATATAATTAAATTTTTATAAAAAAATTATTAAAGGTTTTTGAAAACTATTGTGTTTAATTCAAAATTTTAATTTTTAAAAAAATTATATTTTTGGTTTTTTAAAATTTTACATAATAAAACATTATAAAATTTATAAAAACATAATTTTGAAAATAAAATATATATATTATATGATATAAAATAATATATTCTTTTTTTAATTAAGTTGTTCTAATATAAATTTTATAATGTTTTATTATGTAAAATTTTAAGATATCAAAAATATAATTTTTTTAAAAATTAAAATTTTTATTTTATTTATTTATTTATTTATATAATATTATAATAAAAACTTTAAGATACAATAAGAAATTTAATTACAGAAAAAAAAATTCTAAAATAAAGATTTTTAAATTATATTTGTGTTGCTAAAATAGATATTCAATATGACATTACACCTTCTATTTTCTAATGAGTGCTATAAATAATTGTTTCAAATTATTTTTAGCTAAGATAGGTTGAAAAAAATCTTAAATAAAAGTCTGAATATTATATAAAGTATGTAGTTTAAGTAAAACTTTATAAAAGTTATTTGTTAATAAAGTGTATAGTATTAAAAAATTGTATAATACTTGAAAAATTGTTAGTAGGGATAAATATTGTTGGAAAGTGAATTTTTGTATATTTAGTTTTAGCAGCTATATTTTGAGCAAGTTCTTATTGATATTGAAAAATATTATATGTAAATCATAGATCTTGATAGTACTAAATAAGAAAATATTAGCAAGATTAATCAGAAAGATATTTGTTTGTTTGTTTAAAAGAGTTTTAATATTATTGTAGATAAAATTTGGAATTAAACACAATGATTCTCAAGAATCTTTATTAATTTTTTTATAAAAATTTAATCTTATATGCTCTAAAACTTAGAGAATAATCTTAATAAATTTTAATAAATGTTTATAATACAATTTAAAAAATATATTACTATAAACAAGTTTTATTTATTTTTTTATTTTTTATTTACTAAGACCTAAAATGCTAAAAATAACAAAAAAATATATTAAATTTTCCAAAATTCTCAAATTATACATTAATCATTATATTAAACAACTTAGTTTATTATGCAAAAACTGATTTGTATATAAAAAAATTATGTTTTATATATAATCATAGTTATTATTCAATTAGATTAAATTATTATAAAAATTAAAATTTTAATAACTTCTATTAAAAAATGTACTAAAATTATATAATTCTAAACAATATTTTATAAGATAACTAATTTTTTAAAAAGATTTTTTTAAAACTTTATTTCTTTTTTTTTGTTTTTTTTTTTAGTACTAAAATGATTTATTTAATTGATATTTTTAAGAATTATTTAAATTGTATAATCTTTATTAATAAAAATAAAATTTATAATTTTTTTTCTTATAAATCACAATCATACTTTGAATTATATCTATATTTTTTTTTAGTTTTAATCTAACTTAACTTGGCAATTTTTAATATAATAAATTCTTTATTTTAAAATACAAAACTAATATTGTTTATAACAAAGTTTGGTTTAACTTATTTAAATTTTAATAAATTGTTGTTTTTAGTAATAGTTTTGGTTTTAATTAATTAGATTTTAAACTATATATTATATTAGTAGCAATTTAAGTTTATTTTCTTTAATTATAAAATTTCTAAATTTTAACAAGTTTTGCTTAAATTAAAACTTGTTCTTGGAATTATAGTTTATAACCTTTTTTGAAAGTTTATACTCATTACAATGCTATTTCATATTATATATTGCTGATAATCCAAATACTAGCATCTGTAGTAATTATAATATTTTTATTTTTATATAAGAATTTTCTTATGTCTTTATAGCAAATGAAAAGTTGTTACTAAAACTAAAAGAAGAATATTTCAATATAAAAACATGAATAATAAACTTTAGCAAAACTTTACTAACCAAGTTTTATCTAATTTAAAATTAATCTATACTTTTTTCTTAATTTAAACAA